AGATAATCAGCTAAATGAGACAGTCGCCATAAATTATAGTTCCTCCATGACTGTTCTCTTTCTTTTGTTGTGTACTGTTGAGTCCGAGCTGATTCATAGCTGACCCTCCAGTGTGTTTTCAGAGACAGTAAATCAATCACTTGGGAGAAGATTGTCCATCTTTCTCCCTCGGAGCAGGTGAGCAGGTGGTGGTTACAAATTATGTTCATTTGTGTTGCTAGCACCAATTTCTAGTGTTTCCTTTCTAGGGGAGTTACATTATTCCCTAGGTGTAGGTTGGATCTTCTGGTGTTGCTAGCTGGGTTGGAGTTTGGTTGGGGCAATAAGCAGTGTATAATGAGTTAGCAAGAAAGGAGCACAGGAGGAACTGTTGTCTGTGCAGGAATGCAGGAATGCAATTCCTCCTCCCAAAAGCAGCTGGTGGCCCCTCTGCCCCAGGTTACCCACCAGTGACTAGTCAATGACTGACTAATCTCAGAATCAGGGACTTGCACAGAAAAGCCCTTCCTGTTCCCAGCCCTGTGCTGGCAGCATTTTCCCTTGGTGGGGAAAAAATGCTTCAAGTGCTTACCTCCCCCCACCTTGCCTAGGAGCCCTTCTTACAGCTTTCCTGTAACAAGCCCTAGCTTGGGCTACTGGGGAAAAGCGCAGCACCGGGCCCAGGGATATTTGTGCAGGGAGGAGGTGGAAGCAGTTTCAGGAGCGGGATTCATTACAGCAGCAATCTCGGTCAAACAGGTTCCAGCAACTTCAGGGAGGCCTCTTTGTTCTATTGTTCCAGAGGGCCAGACAGGCCTCCCCACAGTCCTGGAAGCCAGTAGGAGGGGCGGGGAGGAAGTCCCCTGGAGTCTGGCCAGCGGGCTGCTGTGATGACAATTTCATCTCTGTTCACACAACACGAGAGACCGATTCTATTTGATTACAGCTTGTAAACCTTAGGCAACTGGCTTCCTTTGCTATTTTCTCCACCAGTGAGGCAGAGGGGTGACCAGGATTTATGGGAAGAAGTTTGAACGGAACTAGCATCTTGCAGACAGAGACTAGATATCCTTAAGGGGTTTCTCCAACTCTGCAAGTCTAAGATGAAGATTCTAGAATATCAATGGATTTTTGAAACATAGGGCATAAAAAACCAAGAAAAAGAGCTCTCATAATTTGGAGCACACACATGAGTTTGGATATTATTCAACCATTAAAAGCACTGATGTGCTTACTGATATGTTTTACAGCGTAGATAAACCTTGCAAACATGCTAAGTGAAGGAATCCAGACACAAAAAGCCACATAATGAATTATTTCATTTATATGGAATGTCCAGAATATACAATTGTATAGTCACAGAAAACAGATTAGTGGTTGACAGAGGCAGTGGGAGTGGGGCAAGACTATTAATCATGTTGGGTTTCTTCATGGGGCCATAAAAGTTTTCTGGGATTAAATAGTAGATTAGATGTGTAACTTTATGCATATACTAAAAATCACTGACTTGTACACTTAAAGAGGTGACTTTTATGGTATCAAACGGTATCTCAAAATTATATGAGGAAAAAATTGGGTTTAAATCTGCAAGGGACTATGGAAACTGCACAATGCATTGCTAAAATAAAATTTAAAACAACAACAACACCTCATTGCAGTTGTTTTTGTTGTTGTTGATTGTTGTCAAGTCAAGCATGACTCATAGCAACCCTTTGAACAAAAGACCTGAAGCCTTTCTGTAACTATCATCATTTATCAAAGTTCATAGAGTTTCCAGAGGCATATTGTTTAGGGAGTAGATGTCACTCTTACTTCCAAACCTCTCTTAAAGTGGAAGCTCCACCAAACACTGTCCACCATGGATAACCTCTGTGGCATTTGACTGCCCTAATGGCCCAAGGTTCAGCATCCCAGCAATCTCAGGTTACCTCAGTACAGCAGATTGACAGAGGAGTGCTGTATCACATAGAAGAATGTTCCTACAAAATATTATAACAGCCAACTTTAAATACAAAGGTCCTCCACAGAGGTCTTATGGTCTCTCAACAGGAGACATAAAGAGAAAATAACCAATATAATATGTTTTTCATTGCTGTTATGTGCCTGGCCCCATAGCGACCCTATGTATAGCAGCTCTGAACCCTTCCCTGTCCTGAGCCAGTCTCACTAATTCTGACACAACAATCCCTATTGCCCCAGTTACTGTATCAATCCATCTCATCAGGGGTCTTCTTCTGTGCTGTCCCTCCACTCTTCTGAGCACAATCTCCTTCTCCAAGAAACTCCAAGGACTGGTCTCTCCTGGATACGTGTCTAAAGTATGTGAGATGGAGCTTCAAAATCTTAGCCTCCAAGGAGAAACTTGGTTTCACCCTCTCTAAGACAGACTTATTTGTTTTCTTGATGGTCCATGGTATGTATGTTCAAGACTCTTTTCCAGCATCACAAATCAAAGGCATTGATTCTTCTTCTGTTGAGTTGGAACTAAATCATAGCTGACCCTCCAGTGTGTTTTCAGAGGCTATACATTCCACAGGAGGAAATTTGCCATCTTTCTGTCTCAGAGCTGCTGGTAGATTTGAACAATCAGAGAGATACCACCTTTGGGTTAGTAGCAAAACTCCCTACCCTCTAGCCCACTAGACTCCCTAAAAATAACATAAAAATTTAAAAAACAGATCTTGTAGTGAATTTGACTCAGACTGGAGCTCATCAATCATCCAACATCAAAAATCTACTCATCCAATAGATGATGATTTACTGAGCATCTACTTACTGTGTTTTAAAGTACCATGAGAGGACAAGCAGATATTGATAAAGGAGATGATTGCTTGTCCCTGGTGACCTTCTATTACCTGACTGTGACCTCTTGTGCAGTTTAACCTCTCTGAGACTGAGTTTCCTTACCTGACCAATGGAGGGCATCCCTAGATTCCTCCCTTCCAGTTCCCATCCTGGAATGAGGTCCTAGTTGAATACTCTCTAGTTCTGTGGTACTTGGACTTGTTTTTCCGCTATGTCCCATGATATCATCCAGTTGACTGTGATTCATAGTGACACTAAGAACAACAGATCTGAACCTTGTCCTATCCTGCACCATCCTCATAATCTCTGATGTGTGCAAGCCCACTGTTACAGTCGCTATGTCAGTCCATCTTGTTGAGGGTCTTCCTCTCTGTCTGTGGCCCTCAAACCTGATGGTGAATAAGACCTTTCTTAATTCAGCACTCTGTAAAATTACATGCTGTTGAAATTCACTCCTGAAGGTTCTGACTTAGAGCCTGCAGTGGTTTTGCCACTTCTAGTTTGGTGTGCCATCAGGTTTTGGGACAAATGCCCCGGCTACCTCCTAGCTCAGAGCTTGGATGGTAAACCATCCTAAATAACTCTCCACACCTCCTCTGGGTGTAACTGGATTACCCACCACCCACTGCCATCGAGTTGATTCCAATTCAAGCAACCCTATGGGACAGAATAGAACTTCCTCATTGCATTGTCAAAGCTGGGAATATTTACTGAGGCAGATTCTCACTTCTTTTAACTGCAGAGTGGGTAGTATGTTTGAACCACTAACTTTCTGATTAACAGTTGAATGTTATAGCTATTGTACTGCTAGGGCTCCTTCTGAGTTATCCCAGGCCTCCCCAGACAAACTTTAGCATCTCTATTTACTGTCCCCATAGTCCATCCACACTGAGTTTATTCTAATTCACAGCAACCCAACAAGACAGAGGAGATTACCCCATAAGGTTTCTAAGACAAAAAGACACAGCATCTCCTTTGTTTTTCTCACACCAAGCCATGGTACAAATACTCTCCAAAGGGAGCCAACATTTTCTACCTATGAAATGCATTTTTCCTTTGCTTCATTCCCCAGTGGCATTTAAAAAAAGAACTAAAATAAGGGGGGGGGGGAAAGACTGTTCAAGTTCCAAAAATAAAGTCAGTCATTCATTTAAAGAGTCATCCTGTGCTTTAGAAATAAGCTACCTTTTTTGCCTCATTATTTTGGGGGATATTTTCTATTCCTTTTCCCAAACACTGACAATAATTTACACATGAGAGAGTTCTTTTTGTTAGCTGCTCTAGAGCTGGTGCCAGCTCATGGTGACCCATGTGTGTCAGAGTAGAGTTGTGTTCCATGGTGTTGGAAAGTTTTTCCCAGTAGGTCATCAGGCCTTTCTTTGGAGGTACCTCGAAGTGATCTCAACTCCCCAACCTTTTAGTAGCCTGTCACTTAACCAACTGTCCTCCTCAGGGACTCTAGCTTAAAGGTTGTTATTTTAAAATACTCACTCAATGCTTTTAAGTTGGAATCAACTAATAGTTGACCCTCCGATAGATTTTTTTTTTTCCTCCAAGAAGCTGTAAATAGTAGCAGCAGGAGATTACCCGTTTTTCTCTCATGGAGCAGTGGTGAGTCAAATCACTAGAAAAGTGCTTTGGGTTAGTAATGCAACTCCCCACCCAATTCATCACCAGCTGTTACTGTTGCTGGTGTGTGTTGTCAAGTCAGAACTGACCCATAGCTGAGCCTTCCGTGGGTTTTCAGAGACAGTTAATCACATGGGAGGAGATTGCCCATCCTTCTCACTCAGAGCAGCTGATGGATTAAAACTGCATGTCTTTGGAATTGCAGTGCAACTTCTTACCACCAGATCACTGACCTCCCTACTTTAAGATGGTTTATTTGGCAAGACTACAAAACTGGCAAGTACACACACACACACACACACACACACATCTTGTAAAGCTGATGTTTTAATCTTCTCCCAGTGTTCAGTGCTTCTTCCTTGTCTGGGCAACTAAACAGATTATTCTGGAGTTGTGATGCTAACACATCTCTTTCTCGCAGCTGTCATGCACAATGGAAAGCTGAGGAGACACCTAACAGACGACCACCAGGGGGTGCCCAATATCTTGCGGCTGCACTGTGAATGGGAAGTGAATGAGGAGGGATGATAAAGAGGCAAAATCGGTTCTTGCTTAAGGTATAAAAATGAAGATTGAGGTTTTCCTACCTGGATCACTCTTCTCTGCAAAAGCCACAATGTGGATCCCTTTCAAATCATCTTCCTGTGGAATAAATGAGTCAGAGGTTACACTTGCCAGTGGAGAGCTTTGGTAGGGACGCGGACTAGGAAGGTAGAGTGGAAAGGAGTGAAAAGAGGAAGACGTGTGAAAAAGACGGTGGAGACAGGCGTAGAGACACATCATCAGTGGACATATACATGGGAAGGAAATTCTGAGTGTAATGGGGGTCGGCAGGGGTGGAAAGGATAGGAGGATGCTTTGATGAAGGATTTGGATAAAAGAGTTTGCAAAACAGAAAAGACTACACACAAGATATTAGCACTAAATGGGTCTCACTCCATGGTCTGGAGCATCCAGGGAAGCAGCAGGAAAGGTAAAATGAGGAAGATCATTGAGTCTGGGTTCTCAGGAGCTCTTAAGGGCAACAAGCACTCTGAATAGAGTTGCGATTCCAGTTGCTCATTTCTGTTTCAATAACTCACCACCAGCATGTGTGTGTGTGTGTGTGTGTGTGTGTAAAATCAAACTATGGAAACTTTTGAAGGCTTCTGACAGATACTGAAAATATGCCCCCAAACACAACAGACTGGTGGTGTAAACTGGGATGTAGAGCTCGTTTTGTTCACACAGGAATCATAAATAAGTAGGGTGTATCTTTGTTAAGACTCCATCACTGCCTCTTACTGACTAAACTGAACCTAGAGATGAGGAGGAAGGCATGAGATAGGATAAGGTTCAGATTCATTGATGATAGGGTCACTGTGAGTCGTGGTTGATTTGATGGCACTTATCAACAACACCAACAACAATAAGCACATTCTGAAGTTTTTGCTCATTGGTGGTAGAATACTTGCTTTCTGTGCAGGAGACCAGGGTTCAATTCTTAACCAATGCACAGTTACCACCCTTCTGCCGGTGGGGTCCTCCAAAGCTGCTATGATGCAGAAGTGATTTCAAGATTTGGTGGACTAGGAAGAAAGGCCTGGTGATTTACTTCTGAAATTTAGTCATTGAAAACCCTGTGAAGCGCAATTGTCTGAGGCTGCTGACTCATGGTGGGGATGGGACAGGACTGAGTAATGTTTGCTCCTTTGTACACGGGCTCAATCCTTCATCAGGAGCCATTTCTGCAACAGCTGACAATACATAAGATTACTAGAAGTCACCATTGGATTATGATCTCCATGTTGGCCTTCCTGATCTTTTGCTATCACTGAACCAACCCAAACTTTGTCAATGAATCATCTCTGGAAGCATGGGAGGCTCCTGGAAGAGTCTAAAACTGGGGCCTGGAGAAGAATAACAGGGAACAGTGAGTACAGCTGCAGGTATTAAGAAGGGAGGGAAAGGTGAAAAAGGTAGAATCTTTTCTGCCTACAGAGCTTTTTCTGCTTCTACAGCCTGCACAGAGAGAACCGTATGTTTTGTCTCTCCTTTGCATTGATTATTCCTGGAGGAGGAGATAAAATAGCTCGGAGGGGCTTCTGTCACAAGAAGATTCTCAGGAGACTGTGGAAGGAAGATGTGTGAGAAAGAGGCACCAGGGACAAAGCTGAGTGAGCACTGATGGTGGCTGACAAGGGGGAGGGATTCACTGGGCACCTTGACTGTCATATCAGTATCATCCTATAGGGGAAAAAAATACACGCAAAAAAAACCCAACCCCAAGCATCCCAACCCTCTCATGATACCCGTTTCCATTTCAATTGATTTTAATGCTGGTGCAATCCTATCTAAATGCTAATTTTTTTCCCCTTTGAGTTTGGAAAGGACAAAACCTCCAAAAATTCTAAGAGAGATTAAATGGAAAATATTATTAATAAAAACAAGTGCGTGGGCACTGCCTTTGTCAAATTTTCTAGGAAATTCCATTTTACATATGTGTGTGTGACAGTTTATTATACAACAGACCACAAACAGAAGGGGAGGGTGAGGCTTCACAGTTTCACATTTGCTATTATCGCCAGACAGAATCTCCTGATCAGTTCTCATTAGGCTGCCCTGTGTCTGTCTCCTGCCATCAGCTGGAATTGAACAGTGTTAACTGTGAAGCAGGTTTCATTTCTGTGTGCCCTTCTCAGATGCATTTGGAAATTGATTTCCAAATAAAGAATTTATATGTGTTTTCTAAGAGGCTGTCTGTCACTCCTCAAGCCTGAAATGACCCCAGCATGAGAGAGGTGTAGTATAATCAAGTGAAAGATTGTTCCATTGGCTTTCTGGAAGATTTCTCACACAAATCTTTATTGGATCGCTGCTATGAAATAAGCACTTGCTAGGTATTTTCATGTGAGAAATGCAAAGAGTAAGAGTTCATGGACAAGCCCACAGGCTGAGGCTAATAGTGAGAAGGCAAGGCGCTAGGCTGAGGAAGAGCTGAGCTGATGGTCGTGGGACTGAGGATAGTTCGTAGGGAACTTTCTGAACCCCACAGCCTTTGCCACCTTGATCACCCATTGGGTCTTCAGAATATATTGTCTTTAAATGTACCTTTCAAATTGCACAATTCATACCACTGCAACTAAATAGTAAACTCTCTGGGAGAACAATCATACCTTCAAATAACTAGTTAGTTGCCATCAAAACTGAGTTTCCAAGGCTGTAAATAACCTCCCAGAGTCACTGATGGATTTGAACTGACAGAGAGGCACTATCTTTGGGTTTGCAATGCAACTCCCTGTGGGCTAGGCCACCAGATGTTCCCTTAAACTAACAAAGATGATTGTAATTGCCATTTACGGTGTTAAGTACTTTGTAAGTAACTTAGTTCTAAATCCCAGATGAAAGTCGTATTTCTATTTAATGCAGAAAATAACTGAGCCCCTGAGCTGTGATGTTGGAGAAAAGAATTAAATAGTCCATGCACTGCCAGAAGAACAAAAAGATATGTCTTAGAGAAAGTGCAACCAGAGTGCTCCTTAGAGGCAAAGACGACAAAGCTTCATCTCACATACTTTGTGCATGTTGTTAGGAAAGGCTATTTTTTAGAGAAGATCTTCATGTTTAGAAAGGTGGAAAGTTGGCAAAAGAAAGGAAGACATTCAACCAGATGGATTGACACAGTGACTGCAGCAATGGATTTGAATATGTCAGAAATGATGAGGACGGCCCAGGATAGGACGGCATTCAGATCTGTAGTTCATAGGGTTGCTATGGGTTGTATTCAACTCGATAGAACTTAATTACAACTAAAACAACCTAAGACCACAAACAAATAGGTCTTGGAGAGGTGCAGCCAGAGTGCATGGTTGATGAGGCTTCACCTCATATACTTTTAGGCATATTCCTAGGAGAGGGCATGATGCTTGGAAGGGTGGAGGACAGCAGGCAAAGGAGAGGAAGACCTTTGACCAGATGGCCCAGGATAGGACAGGGTTCTGATCTGCTTTCCACAGGGTCACTGTGAGTCGGACTCGCCTTGATGACACCCAACACACCACCACCACCACCACCACAAAACTAATGAGGGACACGACAGGGAGTCAAGAAAATTCTGCCTAGTCCCAATGCATATGGTTCTTTCTCTCTGAAGGCAGCACACTGGGCCCCACACATGATGGTCACTCTGGGGGCTTTGGGTCAGTGACTCTAAAATTGATGGAGATTGAGAAGAAGTCTGTATGAAAGAGACCGTATGCCAAGTTACCCAAATAAGTAGTGATTTGGGAGTTACTTTGGTGAATGTCTTATGGATTCTTCAGCCCTTTGTACAACTCTCTGTCTTAGCAATGAACATACTGAATTATGATATATGTTTTGAGGCTGTTTCACCTATGCAGTCCCAAATTTCTAAGGAAAGAAAAGCAACATTCCTTTTTATGACCTCAGTGCTTAGCACAATGTCTTGAGCTCTTACTCATGCTTATTGACTTAAAAAAAAAAAAGAAATACACACCATATGGTGAAAATAACCCTTACATACTCACTGGAGAAAATAAGAAAATGTTAGAAATACCAAGAAGACACTAAACATCTCAATTACCCAGATGCAACCAGTGTAATATTTGGCACTCTGCCCCTCTGGTCTCTGTTGAATGTTCGCTGCTGAATGGAGAGACATAAAGAAAAGGAATGCAGTTAAAACTAGGCAGCTCCTTGATTAGGGTGCAATGAATGGAGTGACCCCCAGGGCTGGTCTGAGTGTCTCAGGCTGGTTCTATGACACATTTTGCTGTTGTAACAGAGTGGGGATTCTTTCAGAGGAGTTGCTGACTCCCCCCCTGTGGGCTTTGTCCAGGACCCTTGCTGGCTGCTTGCTGTGGTAGAGAATTGTCTGGATGATGGAGAAGAGAAGGTCAGCACTAGGTCTAGCTTGTCTGCCCCACCTTTACATTCTTTGAATATTCTAGGGGGAAAGAAAGCTATTCAATTTCCACACAGCAAATATGCCTAGGCATTGCTTTCTTTTGTAATAATAAATAATGTGTTTTCTATGGTTTGGCACTTTGAAAAACTGCCCAACAGGACAGAGAAAGGGATAAATAGTTCTTTAGCCCTGGCTACCTTTCTTATCTTATTTCAATATTTTTAATGTCTGGCGAGTGGATGTAGAAGATAAGGAGAAAGTGCATTAACTGGCTACTTTTCTGACATCTGTGCTCTAAGTTGCTGTGGTCAAGGGGTCCGCTGAGATTCTGTTTGAATAATGGGGACTTCCTCTGTGGGAAGAGATCGTGGAGTAGTTCCTGGAGGCCCTTCTTGTGGATTGATGTCGGAATCTTCTGTATTAAGGACAGGAAGATAACCCAGAGATCCTGTCCTATCTTCCCTGTATGTTGGAGCCTTGGGAGAGGAGGCTCGTGAGAGTTATTAAGCCTTCTGAGAAGTCACATAGAAATCCCAGAAGGAGCACTGGGAAGGTAAAAGCCATTCCAGCTGCCCTTTCTCTTAACTGGCTAAATTTAATACCTGGCCCTTTCATAATTAGAAAAAAAAAATTGAGAGTAGGGTGATATGGGAAATAGGGGCTCTTGCTATTATTTTGTATTACAACAAACAGTTGTAACTTATCTTATTCATTAAGTGAAAAGAAAACACAAAGTATGTTCCACACATAGACCTTCCCTTTGAACCATCTGTTTTCAATGCAATGGCCTGTACTGCCTATGAGATGATAAGAAGGAACTCTTCCACAGCACAAAGTGGGGTGCTGGATGGTGTCCTCTGGGGTGGTGACTGAGGTTGGATACAGGATTTGCAGCAACTAAATCTGCTATGTTATTGAGAAAAGCCCTGGGTTAATCAGTCCACAATTTTCTATCCCTTTACAGCTAAATGGAGAATTATCTCTCATAGAAAAACAAGACAAAAAGAACCAAAGAGAAAAGCATGCTGTTGTTGTGTACCGTAGGGTTGGAAGTGACTCATAGCTGACCCTCCAGCAGGTTTTCAGAGGCAGGTAATTGCATGGAGGTGATTGCCCATCCTGCTCCCGCAGAGCAGCTGGTGGCCCTGAACTGCCTACTTTTGGGATTGCAGCCCAGCTTCTTGCCTCTAGGCCACCAGAACTCCCAGTAAGATAAAAGCATAGCATTACAGAACACTAATAAACACTCTCAAACTAAAATGTTATGAAAGAAAGTTGTCATCAGAGGTAAGGACAGTCTAAGAACTTATTCCTCATTAAAGGAGACTAAAGAAACACACACAAAAAAGTAACTGCAAGATCCCCTGGTTGGATCTAGGTCAAGAGGAAAGCAAAGAAAAGTTTTTTCTCTTTTGTTAAAGAACATTAATGGGATGGACAACTGGCAAAATTGAATAAGGTCAATAGACGAGGTATAAGAATTGTGCCAGTATTAATTTCCTGGTTGTGATATGTGAGACTTGTTCTGCAGTTATGTAAGAGAATGAATACCCTTCCTTTTGGGACATATACTGAAGTATATTTAAGTGTAGTATTTATCAGGAAGGACACTAGAACATGACTCATTAACAACCTGAAAAATGCAGGTGTCATAACCTTGTTTCCTAAAAGCAAAGAGGACTTGAGGCACTTACTAGTGAAAGTCAAAGGCTATAGCCCTGAGTATGAATTATATACCTCAATATAAAGAAAAGAAAAACCATCACAACTGGACCAATAAGTAATATCATGATAAATGGTAAAAAGATTAAAGTTGTCAAGGACCTCATTTTACTTGAATCCACAATCAATATCTGTGAAAGCAGCAGTCAAACCAAGTGATGTGTACATTGGACAAATCGGCTCTAAAAGAGCTATTTAAAAAATTTTTTTTTAAAAAAAGAGTTGCCTGGAGGAGTAAGGTATGCCTGAACCGATCTGTGATTATTTTCAATTGCTTGATGTACAAGAGAAACTGGGATAAAATAAGGAAGATCAAAGAAGAACTGGCCCATTTGAATTATAGTGTTGACAAAAAATATTGAACATACTATGAGCTTCCACAAGAATGGGCAACTCTGTCTTGGATGAAGAATACTCAGAATGCTCCTTAGAAGGGAGGGTGGAGAGGCTTTGTCTATGTTTTCTGGACATGGTAACAGAAGGAACCAGTCCTTGAGAAGGATAAATTGCTTGATAAAGGGGAAGGTTAGGAAAAAGATAAGGACCCTCAACAAGATGGAGCAATACAGTGTCTGCAACAATGGACTCAAACATAGCAATGATTATGATAACGGTGCAGGATTAGATACTGTTTTATTCTGTTGTCTACAGATTGTTGAGTTGGAACCAAGTTGATGGCACCTAATAATGATAACAACATATAAAGGAAAGGGGAATATCTATCTGCTATTCACTGTGAGTTCAGATAAGCTGTCAATGTACCTCTTCAAAGTGCTAAAGAGTAAGGATGTCAGTTCAAAGACTATGGTGCACCTGATTTAAGGCATGATCTTTTCAATTGCTTCCTATGCATCTGAAAGTCAGACTTTGAATAGAGATGACAGAAGAATTAGTGCCTCTGAACTGTGCTATTATTCAATAACACTGAATATACTTTGACCTCCTGTAGAACAAACACATCTGTCCTACAGGAAGTATAGTCAGGGTGCTCCTTAGAGGCAAGGATGGTAAAACTCCACGTCATGTGTTTTGAGCATGTTGTCAAGAGGAGTCAGTTCTTGGAAAAGGACAATATGCTCAGAAAGGCAGAGAGAAATAAAATATAATAAAGCAAAGGTGGCACAATGGTAACATTTGGTTCCCACTTATTTGTGATCAATTAAGCTAAAGATATAATAGATTTTTTTAACTAGATTTCTAAGCCTGAAATTATTTCAAAGTAAAAACAAATATTATTTTTAGGATCTTGCATTATTATTTAAAATTTAAGACACGATCTTTTAATTGTTAATTTTAAAAAATTGTTTAAATGTTAAGAAAATATTTATAGGCTGTTCTTAAAATAATGCTTCCTCTAGACTGGGAAATGTCTGTTCTACTTTCAGACATCCTACTAAGTTAGATACCAGTAGGCAAGTCACTCCAGGGTTCTGTGCATCTCTGCCTTCCTGCCTTTAGATTCTGCATTCAAGAATTGAGAAACAAACAAATGCTTTTCTTTTAAACACTTTTCCTCTTTTTCCCAAACGTTGTGTTTGTGGACCAGGCTAACTTGAGGCAGGCATATCACGAATATATGAGATTTGGTGTAAGGGATCGGAATTTAAGTTCTACATGGAAATGCTTAGTAACTATAAGCTCTTGAGTAATTAATTAACTGAATCTACATGAAAGTTTCCCTGTTGTAAAACAGGGCTAAAATAATACTTGTTTTAGGTCACTTGTTAGAAGAGTTGAAAAATTCACTAAGAAAGATGCATGAAATGCTTTGAAAAATGCTCTACAGGCTTTGTTGTTACTGATTCGGAGATTTTATATAAAACATGTGTGTGTGTGTGTGTGTGTGTGTCTGTGTCTGTGTCTGTGTGTGTCTGTGTGTAGGGAAAAGAAATGTAGTTATCTCTAAGATATTCTTTCTAGCAAAACTACCCATTTGACATATTGTTCAAGACATAGACCCAAAGAAGTAGATGCCTTTCAGTGACTTACATGGATATTTTTAAAACAACTATCCATTGAGCAACTTCTCTGCTCTGTTGTTATTGTCAGGGGCTTCAGAGTTATCTCTGATTCATAATGACCCTGTGAATAAATGAACAAAACTGCCTGATCCTTTGCATCCTCACAATCTCTGCTGTCCATGTCCTAGGCCACCAGTTTTAGACAGAGAAACTAAAGATCAGAAAGACCATGTAACTTGACAAAGGACAAAGCTAGCAGGGTCACAAATTTTCAGTTTGAAGCCAAGTCCCTAAGACTGAGCTCCTCTTACCTCATGACCCTGGGTCTCAAGTGACCAATGAACAGACATCAATAGTCACAATGGGTCATAAACTCAGAAATGGAATAACCTTGTTCATGGATAGTATGAAAGAGGCTTAAGTTGGTTCTGAAGCCAGAAGGATTTTAATTGAGAATGATGCTGTCCATGTTTCCCATCCATTCAGTCACTCCAGCAGAGTAAGACTTGGTTTTTAAATTTAAGGATTTCATTTCAAAGGCACCTCTTCTGGGGAATATTTTAATCAACACAAGACAGAAAGGGTTTGCTAGCTTCTTACCCATGTTTCAAACATATCTTCTGGGCGTAGACGACGAAGAGTAGGTCTGGAAAAAAAAATAAAAAGAAATGGCAGACACCACAGTCTTAACCCCTGGGGTATAAAAAATGAGAGGCTTGTTTGTTTGCAGAAGCATCAATTTCTCTGCAACTGATATTCTCCAAGAGGATGGAGCCTGGGCTCTTCCTTTTCCCAGCATTTACACAGACCAAGGGATACTGTACACAAAGGACTGGAGGGCCTAGAACTCACTCATTCTTGGGGCAAGAAGACATTTCCTTCCTCACAGATAAGTGCCCTACCACACACCTTCCTACCCCCGACCCAGAAGTCCAGAGCAAGCCCAAAATGAGGCAATGTGAGAGAGGAAAGGAAACATGGGTCATCCCAGTCCAGAACTGCAGGAACGTGTCATCCAAGCCATCCATCCAAACCTCTTTATTTGGACACTTTTGCTGAGGGCAGCAGATGGAATCTCTGTTTTGCTCATTATTTCATTTTGTTCTGAATGGTAGTAACTAATGCAGACTAAAGCCTAGATAGAATTCAAAGGAGAGTTCACATTCACTCCTCTAAGTGCCACCTCCATGCAGAGGCTAGTATGTTGTGGGTTCAATGGACCCAATGCATGCGTGTGGGAGGGTGGATGGGTGACTTCCAATAGTGCCCCTCTAAGGACACAGATTAGCAAACCACAACTCATGGACCCAAAATATAGTTTGGTTGGGAGACAGCCATATCTATTCATTTACATATTGTCAATGGCTGCTTCCATGCTACAATAGTGGAGCTGAATAATTGCAATAGGAACCATCTGGCCCACAAAGCATGAAATAAGCAGTGTCTGGGTCTTGATAGGAAAAAGTTTGCTGATCAAACTTAGTGGTATTCTTTGTAGGGGTGTCTGCTGCTAACCCAAAGGCTGTGCCTATCTGTCAGTTCTAACCACTCTAGAATCTACCAGCAACTCTGTGTCTCCTTCCGTGTGATTTGCAGCCTCAGAAACCCACCAGAGGGTCAGCTGTGAGTCAATTTCTATTCCACAACATTTTCCTCCTTTTAGTTTGATCAGACTAGAGCTACTTTGCATGGTGTGACCTGTTCCTTCCCCTCCCAGAAGTTTTAGGTAGAGAATGTTTATTCTTGGATAAGTGACTTAACTTCTCTGAGACCAATTCCACAATCTGTAAACTTGGGATGATTGCAATTACCCAAATAAAGTTGAACATTAGGTAAAATGCCTTCTCAAAAGTTTGCTATTCAGTACTTAAAGAGCTGTCACTAAATGTTGTTATGTACCATTGTATTGGAACCAACTCATAGCTGACCCTCCAGTGGTTTTTTAGAGGCTGCAAATGTCATGGGACAGGGATGCCCACCTTTCTCCCTGGAGCAGCTGGTGGATTTGAACCGCATACCTTTAGGTTGGCAGCATAACTTCTTACCACTGGGTCACCAGAACTCCATCATTAAACTGCTATCATTATTATTGCAGAATTTAACCTGTATCTGGCCCTGACTTTGGGGGATTTATTGACTGGGGAGAAATGTTATAACTGTGGCTGCAAACATATTCAAAAGATGTATAGTTATCCCATCAAGGACCAATAAAGCTACACAGAGAGTTGAGTTTTTCTCATACTAGAGTGCTGCTCTTACTGAATCTGAAACATTAGGACTGAGGTTTGCCTCCATCTCCCAAACCCTGGGCCACCCCAGCCCCTGTGCGCCATCTCAGGCCACCTTTGATGCTCCTTCACAAACTCCACCAGCTCCTCCTCTGTGTAAGGCTTGTTGGGGATGATGATGGGCTCATCCATGAATGGCTCGTAGAAATCAACCTCATTCATCTTCAAAGACAGTTTCTTTGCGACCTATAATGGTTAGAAAGAAAACAAAATTTCCTTGAGTGCTACTTTGGACATGTAGTGAGGAGAGACCGGTCCTTGGAGAAGGACATCATGCTTGGGAGGGTGGAGGGACGGTGCAGGAGGGGAAGGCCCTCTATGAGGTGGATTGATTCAGTGACGGGGGTAATTGGGATGGGAGTGTCAGAGACAGTGCGATTGGCACAGGACAGAGCAGAGTTTAGGGCTGTTGTACATAGGGTCGCTATGAGTCGCAGGCGACTCGATGGCACATAACAACAACAACAACAACAACAACAACAGCTAGTGAAGAGTGACAGTAAGTTGTCTGTTTCAGAGAAGAGTGTGTGTGTGTGTGTGTGTGTGTGTGTGTGTGTGTGTGTGTGTTTTCTAGCAAAGTCCTGAGGATACATGGAGAGTTTCAAGGTGAATGTTGGGATAACAATTCATTATCTAAGGCCTGAGCTGGATTGATCTTTTGTGATCAAAGAATGACAGAAGGGAGAAAAAGATCTATTTAGAAAATTGAGCCAAGCAGGAGCAGGGAGCAGTTGGAATGGACACAGGGACATTTCATTCTAGAATTATCCCATTGCATTTGGCAGGGCTATAGGAGGAATCAGTTTTCAATGGGGCGTGCTCAGTGTCCTGAGATGTGTGGATTACCCATCTTAATAGAACAATTACTCAAAATCAGAAGCTAAATCCTGAAGTTGTCCTTGTTTGGCTCATAAACCTTAAATGTTATTTAGGCTGAAGCTCTGATCCCTGGGTTAAGTATTCCAGTTCTGGCTCACTTGGTGCTTGGTCGGGTGCTGGGAACTGTCCAGTAGGCAGTTAGACAGCTCTGGTTTCTAGTCACAGGTATGAGTAGTCTCATTTGCCAAGAATGGAATAGTTTTCCAAGACAGGGGGCTTTCAGAATAAAAGCTAGGCAAGTCCCAGGCAAACCAGGAAGAGTGGGTCACCATAACTGGATTAGAAAGCTAGGAACCAGCCGGAGCTGGAAGACATTTCCTCACTTGCACAAAGGAGCCATGCAGTCCATTGTCAGGACAGAGCTGTTTCTGTGTTTGCCTACGGGGCCATTGAACTTGGGACCTCTCTTTGTGAAATGATGTGACAGGCCTGGAATGTGCAAAGCTCTATAGAAAACCAAATGTCATTCTTTTCTAGTTGAGAGCTGTGGTCCAAGAAAGCGCAGGCATGAACAGTGGTTCCCTTGAAACTCAAGAGGGATTGCCTAAGAGCGGCTGCTTTGTGGCGGTAACTGAGGAGGCTGCAGCCCAGGCTGCCGTGGCTAATTGGGAAGGGGAGGAGCTGGGTCTTACATAAGCAGTTACACAAGGAGTCTATCCTGAAGAGGTTGCTTGTATGAATTTGTTGTTAATAATTTCAAGTGACTAACTTAAAAAAACAAAGGAGCTTCTGGTGACATCATGAGTAATACTAATTGGTCGGTAGTTCGAATCCATCAACTGCTCTGCAGGAGAAAGATAGGCAGTCTCTTCCTGTGAAGATTTACCACCTTGGAAACCCATGGAAGGTCACCATGAGTCAGAATGGGGGACTCGACAGCAGTGGAGGTCGGTTTTAGTTTATCTTCCAATAAAGGGACACTAGTGGCATGGCAGGTAAACACGTGACAGCTAACCAGAAGATGAGCAAAACTACCAGCTGCTCCACAGCAGAAAGAGGTGGCAGTAGGTTTCTGTAACCAAAGCCCCACAGCCATTGAGTTGGTTATGACTCATAGTTACCCCTCATTGGGTTTTCAAGGCTGTCAATCTTTATAGGAGACTGCCCAGCTGGTGGAGCAGCTGGTGGATTGGAGCCACTGAACTTTAGGTTAACAGTCTGATGCATCATGTGCTCCAGCCTAGAAAACCCTACAGGGTACGTCTACACTATTTTACAGGCTAACGTTGAGTTGGAATCAACTGCATCAATGGCAAGGGATTTGGAAAAATATTGTTAAAAGATATTTCTTATAATACTTAAGGGAAAGTTAGAGCCAAGTTAGAGCCAGACAAAATAGGCTGTTTTAAGAGCCTATTCTCAGACAAAGGAGATTTTTATTTTCATATTATGTTTTGGAAGACAAGGAGCTATAGTCCCACATCCCTTACACTCTGTTACTAACCCAAATGTTTATCATTTGAATCCACCAGCTGATCTAACAGGAGAGAGATGAGAACCTGCGGGAGGGTCAGCTATGAGTCAGTTCCAACGCAGCAGTATATAACAATGACAACAGAGGTTGGAGGGACTGAGTGGCAAAGAGATTGGTTGCTGGGATGGATTGTTAAGAGGTAGAAAATAACAATTTCCTATCAGGATCTGGGTTTAACCAAAGTTCTTCACAAAACTGGGCCTTTTCACAGATTGAGTTTCAGAAAAAACATTAGATTCTAGTCCTTTGAATTCACATAAAGACATATTCTAGGCAACAGCAATTGCTTTTTCTTTCATTTTTTTAATTTTAGTTTATATTGGTTTGTTTATATATACAAAGTTCATATACATTGTGTTTCATATAATCATTCCTATTTATTATGCCTTATAAAATTAATCCTCATTGAACAATGCCCTCCGTTACCCTGTCTTTCCAGATACCTGCTGGATCTTTCCCATTTCCTTTACCCACCTCCCTCCATCCACCAAACTGCGTGACTCTATGATTTCCCCCCTGCCTTGCACACATTTTACTAGTTATCTTTCTGTTCCTACAATAATGGTTTTAGCAGTATTTGTCCTTAACAGACCGAGTTTGTTCGCTCATCATAATGATCTTCAGTCTCTTCCAAGTCATGTAGTAATTTTGGAAATTGTTACTCCTGAGTGCTCTGTAGTATTCCTTCATGTGCAATTTCTCAATCCATTTGACTGGTTGGACATTTGGGCTGTTAACATGTTCTCGTGATGGTGAATAATACTTTGTTTATGTCTCAGTTCTATTTTCCTTGAGGTATATCCCTAGCCGTGGAATAGCTGGGTTATATGGAATTTCTATGTTCAGCTTTTTGAGGAAATGCCAAACTGACTTCCAGAGTGGTAGTACCATTTTACAATCCCACTAGCATTGTATTCTCATACACTATCTCATTCCTATCTCTCCATATCCTTTCCAACATTTATTACTTGCTCTCCTGTTAAACTTTGCAACTTCTACTGGGGTGAGATGATATCTCATTGTGGTTTTGATTTGCTTCTCTCTTATTGCCAGTGGTTTGGAGCATCTCTTCATGTGTATGTTGGCCATCCAAGTATTTTCCTCTGTGAAAAGTCTTTCCACATCTCTTGCCCATTTTGTAATTAGATTATTAGTCTTTTTCTGGTGGAGGCCCTGCAGGATTCTGTAAACTTTTGTTATGAGACCTTTGGAACCAGGAATCTTGTATGAAGTGGGGTTAGGGGTTACTGAGTGACCAAAAGCAGTCATAAAAACCAGGCTTCATTTGTACCAGGTGCTGATATTTGATGTTTACTGCATTATTGAATCCTCACTTTGATTACATGAGGCAGGAAGTACCATTAGGCTTATTTTACCAATGAAGAGTTTCATCACAATTTGAGCAAATAATTTATCTATATTTTGAGAGGGTAAGTTCATTAAAGTCAGTAGAATGTTCTAAATGATTTACCTGAATTCTAATTTTCCTGTCATCTGAGAACTACCTTCTTTCTGATACCATAAAGAAAGGAATAGATGTCCCTATAAATATGGCATTGGCACTACTGCACCATGTCTTAGCAAGTGTGCCTGTCTCTTGTGATGCGCTCCCATTAGTTCATCCCCTATTACAGCTGCCTATAATTGACATTTCCTGAAAGTGATAATGAGCTTTGCTTTCACGTTATCTCTGTCCTTTTCTCTTTCATCTTCTCAGTGGTTAGGTCCTCTTACCAGCCCAATATGGACTTTGTCAGCCTTTACCTCACCAGGTTTTAGACTTGTACAAAGCATTCCCTCCCCCAGGTCCTTCTAGGATTTCTTAGGTAGTGTCTCAAAATTGAGCAGTCTTTGACCTTCCAGTTACCATATCATATCCATTCTTTTCCTTCCTTCTTCTTTTCTAGCCTCTTTTGCTAGACACTCCTAGCCATGCCTTCTGGACCCCACAATTCCTATTGAACATTGTGGAAGCACAAATGAATGTCAATTCTTAAGTCATCCATGGCACTGTTCCTCTCAGTATGAAAGCCTTTCCCTCTCCTCTGTGCCATATGGGAATAGAATAAGAGTCTGTCTGTCTTGTCTTTTTTTTTTTATGAAATCCCACAAAGCTACATGAAAAGTGGTAACATTTATGAATCAGAGTCTTAGAGAGTTTTAAGTGAAGTAGCATTTCAAATTTTTAATTACAGCCTAACTTTACCTTCTTCATGGGCTGTAGACATGAAGCCATGTGGTTAAGTTGAGAGGCACTTCTGAAAACAGACACTACTCTGAATCCAGAGCTGGTCCATTTCTACAAGAACTAAGACTTTGCTGGTTGACCAAGCTTCTCTGTCTTGCTCTTTTGCCTTGAGATGACTTTTTAATTCAGGACTGAGCTTGTTGTTGTTGTTGTT